CCGACAGATCTCTGAGTTACAGACTGTTGACGACCTTACAAAAGCTCGGAGAGCATCTCGTAACACAGGCATGCGTGTCCATCAATGTTAGCATTGGCTTTTAACAGCAGTAATTTGATGGGTATGGAAGTTTCCACTTGACTACCTATTCACTGGACCGGACAGCTAATCGTGAATACGGCAAAATGATTAGGTTAATAAGTACAAGAGGGGTTAAAGATGCAGTGAAGATGCAACGCAAGGCCGAGATCATGCAGGGATATCATGCAGGGTGACATATATGGCAGGCATCACTTTCGGCTCGCCTAGGTTCACTCCCTCCAGGGGCGATAAAATTGCAGTGCAAGCCTGCATGATATTGCTTCTTATTGCTATTGGAGCGTTTCAACATTGATTACTAGCTATTCAGCCTCGTGCAGAATTTCAACGGACGACCCCTGCTTCCACGAAGTGTTCTGCTTGCAGTAGCTTGATTGCAAACCAGGGATAGAGAATGCGGCCAGCAGTTCCAGTTTAGCGGGATGGATGGTGCGTTACAACTGGGAACTCTGAGGAAGGCCTCCAAAACGCTTCGAACAGCTGCTAGTAGCCGTTGGAAAAAGGCTATTGCCGGCTTCTTCTTCTGCGGTATTTGAGCAAAGAGTTGAAAATGCAGCGAAGGAAGGTATTCTCAAATACTTTGATCTGTAGGCTACAAATCCGTCTTAAGTCAATTTTTTGAAATGATCACTTGGACGACATGGATATCTTGATGTAAGTTCACGACGCTACACGGCTTGATGTTTTGTTCAAGCCTAGCTGACCTCGTCGCCAATAGGCAGAGCGAAGTTGTCACGCCGACTTTGTCTCGAGCGCGACAACATATTTCCTAGCTCAGTTGTTGACGAAATGAATATATTGCGTCAATTACCGTCTATAGAGATGCCAGAATTGGCTCGAGGCTTTGCCGTGTTCCTTGGAGGGGTTCTTGGCGGTTGTCTCCACCATGACACTTCCACAAGTCTGACCTTTCATCAAAACACAGGCTCAATTCACTGCCTTGAGAGGGGTTAAAATTGCAGTGCAGTATTTGGCTCGGGCCGCAGCGCGGCTGACGACTGATTGTGATGAATGACTGCCCGGCGTGGCTCAGACAGTATGCAGCATAGCTGCAGCCGCTCATGAGTGTCCTCGGGGGCGGTTGAGATTGCAGTGCAGAACTCCAGAAAATGGGTTAAGACCCAATGATTTGGGTCAAAATATGCAGCCTTATGGCCTTGAAAACCCGCGATCTTGGATTCAGCATAAAAATCTTTTGGGATAGACTGACGCTGAATGGGAACACTGGGACCTGAACTAGGAAGCTTTCAAGGGAAATGTCGGCATCTTACGGCCACTGGGCGAAGCTACATTGCAGTCTCACTGCCAGAGCGGACAGACGTGATAACCTACATCTATCACGTTGCACTTTGTTTGTATCAAGTCAAGTAGTCATTTTTGATAAAAGAACAGATAATGTTCCAATTTTTGGTTAGCACCACAATCAGTGACTACACTAGCTGGTTGATGCACCGTTCGAGCTGAGCTGTTTTAGGGTCGCGGCGAAGATGCCCCCTCGAGGGAGGTAAAGATTGCAGTGAAGGTGCAGCAATTGCACATTTTTCCCTGCACATTTGCAGCATCACCTGACCTTAATCTCAAAATAGCCCTGTGTTCCTGCGATGGTGGACATGTTGCCAAGTTTACCTTCAGAGCTGCGATGAAGTACTATATAACTATGCTGCGTAGTAAATTAGTATGATTAGAGAGAGGGCTTTTCAGAACCTCAAGCTAGATTACTGTGAGCTTTGCTGGGCATCTTACATCCAATAAGAACTAGCGTCACTTTCTTCTTAGGTAGGTATTAAATTAACAGTTTATTATCGCAGTAAATCTCTTTTTTTTAAGCTGTCTATATCGACAACAGAAGTATTAATCTTAATGACAAAATATTACTATTAACCCCTCAAAATCTCACAAAATACTTAAAAAGAACACGGAACGGATTACCCGTCCGCTAGAACATGTTGAGTTGCCTCGTGGGCGAATCGAACGCCCGATCTCCTCATTACTAGTGAGGCGCTTTACCACTGAGCCAACAAGGCCTTGATTGATGACTCACCAGGACGACGAGAAGCTCATGAGGTTGCGGTGGAGATGCTGTGGAGTTGATTGAGAGTCTGGGGTTGAGGTGTTGCGTGGGCAGACTTGGGTTGGCGACGATGATCGTGTAAGTCGGGTGAGGTGGGTTGTGACTTCACAAGTTCGTTTTGGAGTCTTCGAAAAAGTCATTGGCTGGGAGGATTGGGAACCGAAACTTTGTTTTGTTGTGACAAAGACTATTGATAAGGGTCAAGGAGTGTTGTCTAACTCCTTTGACAACCTTTGTGTTATGGAGCTAGGTCTTGGGACGACTCGGGATGAGAGCTTGAGCTTGAAACAATGTCTTTGTGTCAACACAGAACATCTACAGTAGCATGAAAAGTGGATGTCTGATAACTCTACATTTGTTCGACGACTCAGATCTCACCATACAAGTACCCAGAATGCTTGATACTTCTCGCAGTCCTTTCCGGTCTCACTTGAGTGGCTACATCAAATTTCAGCCACCTAGAACCGTATTCTACGATATTCTGCCATTTCGACACCGAAGCATAATTTCAACTCTCCCCTTTACTCTGAACCACTTCCGCGCCTTCGGGCTCTGCTTGCAGCAGAAACTGGACGGGGCCTCTTCTCCTCTCTCAGTCTGTCTTCGACACAAGTCCCTATTTGAAACTCCAGTCAAAATGGCAACCCCGTCCCCCGACGACCTCATCTCCCAGCTCCTCGCCCAACCCTCCATAGCCTCAGCCCGCACCCTCTCCAAAACATCCCCACCCCTCTCCCAAGCCTTCAAGGACAACCTGCTAACCATCCTTAAGCACCACATCGCCCCCTCCGCCTGGCCCATCGCGCTCTCCTGCGTCGACCGCCGGCTCCTCTCGAAAAAGCACCGCGCCGCCTTCGACGCCGACTTCGCAGCCGACGCCGTCGCTGATCCCCGCAACGCAGCCCACTGGGACCTCCACGACCTCTGCGCCCTGGTGTCCATCATAGATGGCCTGCTCTTCCACATCGGCGACGTCGGCCACGGGGAGAACCCGGGGGTGTACTACGACAGCCTCGCAGACTGGGAGGACAGCTGGCGCGACGGGCGCTCGTTCCGCTGGCGCGGGCAGCCTGAGCGGCATCCCCTGGGTGAGAGGAGTTATTTGGAGAGGGACCAGGGCGGGGAGGATCCCGAGAATTTTAGGTGGGCATTTCGGCGCCTTGCGGGGGTGAGGACGGGGCCGCTGCTATTTGAGGGCGTGGATATGGATGTCGACGAGGACGGGGAGGCGATTGACACCCGCCCGCGCCTGCAGTGCGCCTTCTTCCGGCTTGAGTTCCTGCGGAGAGCGTACTACGCCCGTCCGCTCTTCCCGCGGGGGGCGCGGTGGCAGACGCGCGAGGCGACGTTTGTGAATGGCGAGCCGACGGGCGTCGCGGGGGAGACGTACGCGACGAGGTTGGCAAGAGCAGAGGCGGTGTTCCGCGGGTGGACGAGTACGGACTTCACCGAAGTGATTTGCGCGTTCAAGGCGACGCTGAATTACTACGCCGTCGAAGTCGACGCGATGCTGCGCGACTTCGGGGACGCGCTGGAGAGGGAGCACATACCCTGCGGGGACGTGTACTGGACGACGAAGGTGAACAACGCGTGGAAGAAGGGGATCAAGGAGGACGCGGCGGCGGTGGGGTTGCGGTATGAGCGTAATGTCTTCTGGGACGACGAGGAGCGGGAGAAGGTGCTGTTTGAGGAGGAGGTGGACGACGAGTTTTACGAGATGAGGCAGCGGTTGTGGGATGAGCGGTTGATGCAGGAGGACCATGAGAGGAGGATGCTGCTGCCGTTGTCGCACGCCGAGTTTGATGACATGGGGTGCACGATTTTCAGGCCGTCGATCGTGCAGAGGGCGTGGTACCCCTACGGCGTCCGTTATGAAGACAAGCCCATTCTTCCGGAGGCGCAGCCGGACGAGGAGATGGCGCGGTACTTCCACGTGCTGTGCAGTCTGCCGCTCAAGTTCCTGGATAGGTTCATCAGGATGGATAGGGAGGAGAAGCGGCGGTTTCTGAAGACGATGTACCACGCCATCTCGCGGATGAAGGCATCGCACACGCCGCTGTTCTTCTCGGGGGAGGTGCGCGCGTGGTCGAGCAAGCCGGCGGACGCATCGGGCCCGCGGCACTGGGACTACAGGAGGGAGCGGCGGCTGTTCCCCGAGCTGGCGGTGCGCTGCGTCACGATGTCGTGCCTGTCTAAGACGTACGAGGTGTCCTGCGACCCCTGGTACCACGGGTGGCAGCTCTGGCAGGATACAAACCTGCAGAACCAGAACCTCTGGAAGTGGGACAAGTGGGCGCTGACGCCGTTCGCGTGGAAGCGGTTCCGGGAGCGGGAGCTGCGGTACGAGTTCTTCGACATCAATCCGGTCCTGCGCACGAAAGGCCCGAGCTGGGAGGTTTTGTGGCGGTCGCCGAGGCGGTATCTGCGGCTAATCTGGACGGGGCCGGAGGCGGATAGGCCGCGTTGGGAGGGGTATTTGCATCCCGGGCGGCTTGATCCGAACGAGTGCTACTGCCATGTCGGGGAAGGGTGTGCGATGTGTACGCCGTTGCCGTTGCCCAAGGATCTGCAGCTCGAGTGGGAGTTGTACACGCCAGAGGAGATGGAGGCGGAGCTGGAGTTTGAGAGGAAGCTGCGTGAGCCTGCCGAGATGTATGAAGAGCTTCTCAAGAAGTATGAACAGGAAGACTGGAATGCTTGAAAGGTAAGTCTGGTAGGTTTTATTTGTATCGTATGTCTGTGAAATTAGATGCTTGAATATGCCCTCAAAGGTTGAAAATATTTGGCCCAATATGTCTCTTTTTTTGATATGAAAATGCCTAGTGCTGGCTTAGAAGATTTCTCTATCGTCGTACGCCCTGACGCTCTCCAGGTAGGTCTTGACCGCATTATAATCCTTGCACACTGTGAGGGCATCGTCAATATGGGAAGGTCTCGATGGCGTAGCGCAGACTTACCGTGCTTCGAGTCCCAACCGTCGGAGCCACCGTTGTGGTCGGGGAAGGTGGTCTCGAGACCCTCCAGCGCCATGTCAGCACTGCACATGATGGTTTCTCTGAGGTACGAGAAGCAGTGGATCATGTGCCAGTGGTGGTCGTCGGGGATCTCGTGGCCGGACTTGAGACCGGAGTAGGTCTGGACGACGGCGAACTAGACGGTGTGTTAGTTCGTCTTTATACTATGCCATGAGTCAAGATGAGTGAGGTCTTACCAGGCAGTGAAGCTGGTGGGTGATGGAGGTGGTGAAGACGGTCTTCTCGGGCCAGACGATGGGGGTGGGCAGGTCGTGGTACTTGTGCGTGTCGTTGACCCATTGGAAACCCATGCCAACTGTTACCTTTGTTAGTATTCTCATCTCACCCCCCCTAGTTGAGGGAGATATCCAACTTACTCGGCATCAGTTCGTTCCAGTTGTTGAGCACCTCGTCGGTAAAGAACTTTGACGTGTCGTTGGGGGCGTACTTGCCCTCGTAGTCCATCTCGAACTTCTTGATCTGCTGAGGGAAGTGGCCGCTGACGCCCGTCAGGTCGCCGCCAAAGTCCCAGGGGTTGACGGGGGGCTTGTCCATCCTCTCGCGGACGAGCAGGCCGAGGATGACGAGCAGCAGTATCGTGTCGACGAACCACCGCGACGAGTTGAGCATGCTGAGACACCGGTTCCTCCTCTTCTGCGGCCTCGCGAAGTCGCGGGTGTACTTGTCGTCGCCGCCGCCGATGAGCGACTCCTCGACCTCGGTGCTGCTGCGGTCGTCGTCCTCGAGGTGGAGGTTGGCGTACTTTGCCTCTGACATGTCCATCTTTGCTGCTGCTGCTTGGTAAGGCGGATCTACCGCTTGGAAGAAATGAATGTAGATACTTTGTGTTATTAAAAAAAGAGGGTCACGATGCCAGACTTGACCGGACAATGAGTGAGGACCAACGAACAAATGCGCCAGCGCCAAGGAGAGAAACAGAAGGAAGAGGCGAAGAGAGAGAAGGGTGCGACGAAGGGGAAACACCGCCTGGCTCTGTGGTGCTTTTGTTCAGTCGGCCATGGTGGCTGTCCCTCGTCCCATCTCGCCAGTCCTTTTCGTTACCACATCGTCTCCGTCCCGTCTCGAACGAGAGTCTGAGGCTGAAGTTTCAGGACAGGGGATGTCGCTGTTAGAGTCTGGGGGAGATGGAGGTGGGAGGCTCTGCAGTGGCTGGAACTGTGTGGTAAGGAATATTTAGCGACCTGGGGAGGTCACATCAGGACGTTTCACCCACCCCGAAAGCGCCAAGCGGCCCCCGCAAGCCACCGCCAGCGACGTTGCAGCTCCTGGTCGAGTGTTTCCAGTCGCGTTTTCAATCCGTCCGAAGGTGGCCGCTTCAAGACTTCTGAGGCGCCCTATTCGTCGATCCCCTCGTCTCTACTTGCCGCCCTTCCGCCCTACCGCTCCTCTTTCAGACCAAAGACCAAAAGTGACACAGGCATGCTGGGATGAAATGTTCCGATTTTGCCGCGCTGCGATTCGTTGCGAATGGTTTTTAATTAATTTACTTACCAATGGCAGTGTCCTCGGGGGATAAAATAGATTGTAAGCTTGCTTTTGCTCCCCCCACGCCCAGCGGCAACTTTGGCAACACCCACAAATTAATCTCGAATAAGCTCCTTAGCTGCCCCCATCCCGCCCTTTCACCTCGATCGTGCATGAACCCATCTTATCTTTAAGAGGACGTCTAGCGAGCTGAAGGCGATGAGGCTTGACTCTAAATTGATTTAAGCATTCTTGGCTGGATGCATGGTGACGACAAGTTATTATATTGTCGAAAACAGGGCCGTCGTGCGAGAAGAAAAGGGATTGGTGTGACGTCGTTTCATTGTCCCCAAAAAGTCAATGGGATGATGCGCGACCCCCCATCGATCTTGGTCAGTGCCAAGGCGCACATCATTTCAAGATGCGCAAGTTGAAGCGACGGGTTGTGGCTGACAGCTTTGATGGCTCAAACCCCTGGTCGGTATGGAGGAGTGCAATGCCCAATAGACGAGGCTGGGTCGACAGGCAGGACAGACGTGGTGCCGTCTTTGGGTACTGTAGTGAACGTTCTTGACTGATGCCTCGGTCGGCACCAGATATGGCCAACAAGTGGCAAGTTACTTGGAATACTAACTCTGACCCATCAGATCCCGATCGACTGCCCCAAGTCAAGCCATCGGGATCTTCTACCAAGTACCTTCATACGTACATAACGCTCGAATCCAAGCAGGATCGGTGATGGTAGTGATCCAGAGCCTTCTGCGTGCAAATCATACAGAACCAATGCTGCCCGGTGGAAGTAGAGAACTAAACGGCTGTTGTTTCCTTGGGTCAGCTCAATCTTAGGATGCGAGCCCCTTGCCGTCCTGTTCCTTAATGCAGCCTCTCTTCCCCCCTTCCCGGGAAAGGCCATTGTATGACCATCTGCTGGCCATCCCCTCGCCTGGCACTCTCAGACTGATACAATGATCTCAGCGACCTAACCGCTTGAACCATATCCGAGTGAAGGCCAACAAGCTCATTGCGTGTATCAACTACATCAGTGACCCATGATCCTTCACCTTCGACATCCTCACCCCGGCGGCAGTCGTGAGTTCCAGACATCAACAGAAACTGTGGAAGTCTTCAACCTGCCGAATTCGGAAGAGTTGATTTTCGTTATTCGGGAACTTGCGTCCCATCTCCTAAACCAGTCCGACGCCTTGCAATCACGAAGCCTGCCTCATCCACATAGGCCCTGATCATCGCTTACACGTGAATACTCAACTCTCGTGAGGTACGACACGAGTCCATACCATGTAAACCTGGCATTGCCCGCCAGAGGCCTCAAAGTACGCGAGTCCAGATTCGAAAGTTGGGAGTGAAAAAATGGATTAAAAATGTAGCCTCAGCCGGCCGAGGTCATCTCCTTCCCGGCCTGGTGCCAGGTCTTGTGGCGGTAGGTCGAAAGCTGGCATAACATCTGCATAAAAGTCAGCCGCATTCACAGGCGATACCCCTCTCCTACGTGATCAGATGTTGAATGCTATTTGCTGAGTAATTTGGTGGTGTCTCCCGAGAAGCACGCGAGAAGACAAGCTTTCCTGATGTGTGTAAGTCACCACTACGCTGATTGCAGATTTTTAAGTCAACTGTCAATGTCCAACCTTTGTGGAGAAAAATAGCAAGGCCATCAGGCCTGCCTTCGTGTATTACGTTCCATGGGAGCAGCTGCAGCGCGCAGCCCAAACTCCCTATATGTGTAGGTATGAATATATACGGGGGTCATATCCATCGTGAGCTCATAAACGGTCCGGGCCACTCCATCCCCAACTCTCGGTTCGGCTGGCCCAACACAAAACTCCGAAAAACAAATAAGAAGAAAACATTAAACATTGCAGTGAGGGGGTATCAAGTGGTCTTAACCGGGTTGTATCCTCTAAACATATCGCACGGGAGGTAGTTGTTCTCGATGAACGGCGTCGCGACCTGGAAGCCGGCCACATCCCCAAACGCCGCGTCGGCGGGGAAGGGCCCCAGGCTGGAGCGGACGGTGCCGCGCACGGGGACGGGCTCGAAGGCGCCCTGGGACAGGGAGGTGTTGAAGAGGCGGATCTGCTGGTCGCAGGCGGTGCCGTTGGCGAAGATGGGCTGGTTGATGATGCTGTCGAACATGGACAGCGTGTACGGGATCGGCTGCTGGTCGGGGGCACGGCGCATGGTAAGGGAGATGCGCTTGTCACCCGCGGCGGAGGAGCCGTTGAAGTAGGTGCTGCCGCTGCATGTGGAGAGGGCACTGTAGGCGTTGCAGTCCGGGGCGAAAGTCGCGGCGTGGACGGTGGTGCCGTAGGCCTGGGAGCCGGTGACGGCGGCGGGGTTGGTCTCGGAGATGAGCTGCTCCGGGGCCCAGCGGAAGTTGGACGTGCCGTCGCCGAGGAGGTCCAGGAAGGGGAACTCGTATCCAGCTTTCTGTGCGCCAAGTGTGTCAGTGAGTGGCTCTACGGAAGAATGTCTCGGGAGCAGGTAAGTCTTACACTGAAGTCGGGAATGCCAAAGTCCTGGAAGCGGATGTCGTGGTCGTGTCCGGCCTGGACGACGACAGGGTACATGCCGGCGGGGAAGTCTGGCATCACGGCGCGGAGGTTGTTTTCCAGGATGGCGAAGGGGACCATCTGGCGCGCGGCGGCCATGGGGATCGGGAAGATGGCCATGGTGACGTTGAGCACGCCTGTTGCGTTGTTGGGGTGCTGGGCCCAGAGGGGGTTCGGCTGGTCGACGTTTGTGCAGGTCGGCGGCGTTACCTGGGCGGCGGTGGTCTGCATGTGGACGCCGAGGACGACGAGCAGGGCCGCGACGGAGGCCTGGACGAGGTAGGTAGAGAACGGCATGTTGAACCACGAAGACAGGCTCTCGGGGGCGTGGAGAGAGACTTTCTTGAGATCTGGGCATGGCCAGAGGGAGGGGAGGAGGGTGACCATGGTTGCTTTAAGAAGCTCTCAGTCTCTGAGTCTCTCTCTCGGTGCGACTTGGAGCTGACGGGAGAAGGAGGTATGATTGGGGCGGTGAAACATCCGGATGCGAAAAGAGGTTGAATCCTGGCGGTCGATCCGGGAAATATACTCTGCGGCGAGGTTACGGTACCGGTTCTTTTCAAGACCGGGAGCCGCGTCGATCAGTGATGGACATGCAAATTCCCGAAGGGGCTACAACGGCTGAACTGGACTCGTTCGTCGGCGGGGAGGGACACTTGAGGAAGGGGGGCGGGTTGATGTGACGACGATCCGTCCATGAGCCGACAAGAGGAAGACAGGGCTCTCCCGAGATGTCTTTCTTAAGAACGGATGCGACTACGATGAAGGGTGGAACGGAAAGGGCGGTTGCCAGTCACAGGAGGAGTGGTCTCTGGGATCCAAAGTTTCTGGCATTGTGGGACGACGGCGCGTGCCCGCACGGATGGGATGAGTTCATGGTTTGTGTGTAGGATGCATATTCGGGCGGGAGGGTGATTGGACTAGACGACGCTTGTTGTTGCTTGGTGTATCCATTGTCGTTGTGTACATGGTAATTAGGTGGAAGTGGTTGTGGTGGTGGTGGTGTGTCTGATGTGGTGTGGAAGCTTGGAGGGATGGCCCATGGTTCGGAAACGAAGAACCGAGTTCAGGCTTTCCACCGTTCGGGAAGGGAGGGACGGACGGTAGTGGGGACTACCTTCCATGGACGCAGCGGTTGACACTACGTGACAAGGGCCGCATGCGCTGGTGTTCGGGAGGGAGAGAAGCCAGACGCTCGGCTGCAGCCACAGGCTCGGATGGTTGGCGTTCCGGGCAGTTGGGAAGGGCCAGCGTGATCAATCGCCCAGCCACGGACACGGAAGCCCGAGGGACCGGCCGACCCAATGGCACGTCTGTTTCTTGCGGCTTCCATCTTTTCATCGAGATGGATTATTCTTGACTTGAAACCACGCGAGGGCAGCCGGCCAGGCGGGGAGGCGGACGATCGTTGGGCCATGCTTGCGGGTTGCGGAAGCGGCAGAGAACGCCTGCTGGACCCAAACAAGCGGTCGGTGGCTTGTTCTTGTTGATGTTTGTGGTAGTGATGTCTTACTGTGTGGCATGTACGTACAGCGAGGTTGTAGTGTATGCCGTGTCGTTATGGCCATCATATCGGACATGGGTGGTGATATGGTTGTTGTGGATGTGCCATCATGGTGGTGGTGACGGTGGGTAGGTTCGTCTCTGCATGTGCCGTACGTAGTGACAGACGGACCTGGCCCTGGTTTGGGCGCTGTTGACATTGACAGGCCGCGAGAAGATGGCAGCTGCAATGACTCAATGAGAGACAGGAAGTCGTCGGAAGGCCTGCGGGTGACGCGCTGTCTTGAAGGTTGATGAAGATCCGAGGTTTCAAGTCGCGACCACTCCGCAAAACTCGCCGCCGGCGTCATTGGCTGGATCTTTGGTGGAGTACGTACCGGATCACCACTCTATCTTCAGGTCAGGAAGGAAGCGATCTGGATGTTCAGCGGACTCACTCCTTCCACCAGCATTGTAACCGGTGCACTCTTTATCCGGTCTAGCGCGGGGTTTTGCCGAGACGCTGCAGCTGCAGCAGGCGACAACAGGGTCCTGCACCTCCCAGAAATCGGATTTCAACGGTTTTTGGTCCCTGAGCTGCTGCTTGGCGGCGGCACCTGCAGAGGTAGAGCACAGCAGAGGCTGTAGAACACACACAAGTCCATCCATCTGCACCTTTGGAAGGATCATCTTAGTCAGAGCACATGAGATTGCAATGTTTCTTCCCCAGATGCATCCATAATGCATCAATAATTCCCTCTGAAATACCCAAGTCCCATTTGCCAGTGACGATCCTAAGCACGTCAAGGTCACAGTATCATTCTGTAAAGAGGAACTTTGGGCAACGCAAGGCACGGCAGCGGGACCCTTGGGCTCTTGGTGCGGACACTATCGCCCGGAACTGAGCTTCCCGGCATGGGCTCACCTCATTTCATCTCAACACACCGGAAATCACTACCGCGTCAGCACAAATCCATCTAGAATTGAATTCTGGCGGTGTGAGAAGCACCCAAAAAGTATCTCACTCAGTCAGAGTCAACGCCCAACCTCTCTTTCTCTGTTCCTCTTCCTCCCGAGTTCTGAGACCTGCCAGACCTCGAGGATTGACAAAGTTCACAAGTACCCAAGTACACAAGTCCCTTACTCCCATTCGGTCCGCCCCCCTTTCCCATCAACGTAGCGACTTTTAGCAACTCACCCACCACACGACACGACACGAACCGCAACGTGCCATTCTGCAAACTCAACACGCCCCCCTCCCCTCCCCGCAGATCCCTTTCACACAGACAAAGTCAGGTCAAAGTCGGGTCAAACACGTCCGATCACACCCTTAAGCTACCCCCTTGCGGCACAGAGCCACTACCACCCCCAGCCCGCAACAACCGCAACACCCCCGAGCACTCATCCCCCCTTTCGCCGCCAATGGCCACCGTCGCCGATCAACCACCCCCGGCCTACCCCGGCACCGAGGAGAAATCCTCCGCGCCCGCCGCCGGCCCGCGCAAGACGCCCCTCGCCGCCCCCGTCTCGGCCTCCTCCACCCCGGCCATCACGCCCCTGACCCCCGACCAGCAGTCCAAGTACGACGCCCTCCTCGCCCAGGCCCGCGCCTGGTCCGAGGTCAAGTGCCCGACCGCCGCCCACGCCGACAAGTCCGGCCCGCTCACCGACTCGGAGCGCCAGTGGCTCACGCGCGAGTGCCTCCTCCGCTACCTGCGCGCGACCAAGTGGGTGACCAAGGACGCCGAGAAGCGCCTGCTCGAGACGCTCGCCTGGCGCCGCGAGTACGGCGTCGAGGCGCTGACCCCGGAGCACATCTCGCCCGAGAACGAGACGGGCAAGCAGATCATCCTCGGCTTCGACAAAGAGCGCCGGCCCTGCCACTACCTCAACCCGGGCCGCCAGAACACGGACCCCTCGCCGCGCCAGGTCCAGCACCTCGTCTTCATGCTCGAGCGCGTCATCGAGGTCATGCCCGCCGGCCAGGAGAAGCTCGCCCTGCTCATCAACTTCAAGACCTCCAAGAGCCGCGGCAACACCGCCCCCGGCATCGGCCTCGCGCGGGAGGTGCTGCACATCCTGCAGACGCACTACCCCGAGCGTCTCGGCAAGGCCCTCATTATCAACGGTACGTCTGGTCATTCTTTTCTTGCATGGGCTGTATCTAATATGAAAAACAGTCCCATGGGTCGTCAACGGCTTCTTCCGCCTCATCACCCCCTTCATTGACCCCATGACGCGCGACAAGCTCAAGTTCAACGAGGACATGAAGCAGTACGTCCCCGAGGAGCAGCTGTGGACCGAGTTCAGCGACGGCAAGCTCGAGTTCGAGTATGACCACGACGTCTACTGGCCCGCCCTCAACGCCATGTGCAAGGAGAAGCGCGACGCCAGGACGGCGCGTTGGGTGTCTGGCGGCAAGCTGATTGGCGAGTCGGAGGACTACCTTGGAGGTGCTGCCGAGAAGGGCGTGGGTGCTGAGGCGGCCGAGACGAAGGCTGCTGCTTGATTTTCTTCAATAGTTCAAAAGGACGGACAGAACTTCTTTCAGTCATATATTTCGTAGTATTCAGTATCTATAGACAGGGCGATAAACGCTCGGAGTAATGCGTAGAGGGAAATCAAAACAACCATTTCAAAGCTTTTTGATAGGTACAGCCAGCTTGTACTACTTCACGAGATGTTTCAATCCATAGAATATCAGTGTTACCTACAATTCTTTGTCCCCATCGTTCGAATGGATTGTCACAGTTCAACGTGAGACGTTGAGACCCCAGCTCTTATCTAATCGCCGATAAGGCTGCATCAACCGCCCCAAATTCCCCAGCGCGCCCGACCGCCACGACGACACAAGCTACCCCAAAAACCCTTGCAGCCTTCCAACGTCACTCCTAGCGCGAGCGCACTCTCGAAGCCACCCAGATTCGGACAGCTCGCATCAAACAACGAATCCCACAACACCACACGCCCAATGCTACCTTCATAACAGCAACCGTCCACGAAACAATAACGAAGAAAAACACAATGGCGAACATCCAAACAACAAAGAGCGTCCCCGGCAAGGAGACGCCGGGCCTGCGATACCCCTCCAACGGCAAGACAATCTACCACCGCCCCCTCAACCGCACAAAGACCGCCGAGCTCAGCCAGGCCAGCTTCGCCTACCTCTTCAGCGAGATGGTCTCGTACGCCCAGCGCAACGTCAAGGACATTTCCGAGCTCGAGCAACGGTACGCCCTGCCCTGCCTTCCCTTCCGTCCCCTCCCCATCCCCTCTTCCATCGCAGCACAGCTAACATCCACCCCCCACAGCCTCAACGTCCAAGGCCACTCAATAGGCCTCAAGCTCCTCGACCTCCTCCTCTTCCGCGAAGCCCCGCGCACGCAGCTGCGGCCCCTCACAATCATCAACCTGCTGCACTTCATCAAGCAGTCCGCCTGGCAGCACCTCTTCGGCCGCCAGGCCGACCGCCTCGAGAAGAGCGCCGACCCCGCCAAGCCCGACGAGTACATGATCATCGACAACGAGCCCCTCGTCAACGCCTACGTCAGCGTCCCCCGCGAGCTGTCCCAGCTCAACTGCGCCGCCTTCATGGCCGGCATCGTCGAAGGCCTCTGCGACGGCGCCGGCTTCCCCGCGCGCGTGAGCGCGCACAACCTCAAGGACGACAAGGAGATGTGGCTCGGCATGACCGTGTTCCTGGTCAAGTTCCGCCCCGAGGTGTTGGAGAGGGAGGGGTATTTGGGCAAGAGCTAGATCGGCTGGGTCGTGCTTGGGGGAGGAAGAGAAGTGTGGTTGTTTTGATGGCGTTCATGGGGCATGGGCGGCGTTTTCGGCGATGGTTATTTCACTTGTGCAGACGGCCACATCATCACTGGGCTTGTTTGAATCGTACGGTCGGAGTAGCATGTTCTCTGCGTTGATGAATAAAACTGTTCAATCTCGAAATCGGCCCATCACAGCGTGACCGGCCCTCTCGAAAACTACCACGCGATGCGTAAGCAGGTACCTCTGCCATCATACCTCCATCCTCCATCCATGACCCTCAAAAACAATGTCCGGGTATACCATAACGCCATCCCACCACCCTCCCCCGTCATCTCGCCATCGTAGCAAAATCTCCTCACCGCGGCATCCGACTACCGCNACCCTCCCCCGTCATCTCGCCATCGTAGCAAAATCTCCTCACCGCGGCATCCGACTACCGCCCGCAGCACCCTTGCCCTTCACGATCGGCGGCCCGCGGTTCATCAAGCCCGACAGCCCGAGATCCTTCCACGCGGCCTCCTTCTGCCGCTGCGTCGCCTTGGTGATGCCAAAGGCCGCGTGCTGGTCCGGCACCACGTCGTCCTCGTCCTCCGGATTGATCGGCTGGTGCTGCGGCGGCACGTGAACCTCGTCGTCCGGCAGCCTGTCCTTGCAAAAGTCCTCAAACAGGTCGGCGTCGCGCGCGCGGTGCATGTGCACGTACGTATGGCTTGCGTCCTTGTTCTGGTTGGGAGAGGGCGGACGGGTTAGTCTTTCCGGTAAGGGGTTCTGAAGGGTTTGGGGGAACGTCGACGAACCATTGCAGCTTGGTTTTATGGTCTGGGTATTTTTTGCGGACTTTCAAAGCATATGTGTGTTTGCTCGCGAGGAGTAGGAGTTGGCTGGGTTGAAGTTGATGTTGATGTTGACGCCGGACCTCAGCTCCATATGGACCCACCTTTCGGCAGATCCCGAGCAGGGGTGCCTGCAGCCGCAAGCTCATCGATCCAGACGTCACCTGCAACAACAGTTAACGGTTTCTTTTTTGAACAAGGAGCATCATTCAGACATTTTGGGTCACCATGTAATCTCGAGGATTGGAAATAATGATTGTATTAATAATTACGGGTTTCCTAGGTCATGAGCGCATCGTCTCTCCATAATGTCCCTGCCGATACTCGAGCAATCACCCTCGCATCATCCAACGCCACATCAGCCTATTACTCGGAGGTGTCCTTCACGCAAGGGCATCCCCATTCCTTGCACTTGATTCTCTTGGTGACGCAGATCCTTTTGATGCAGGTCTGGGGTCGATGGCTTCCGAGAGGGCACGCCTTTGCAACATGAAGCTGATTGTCGACGGCACCGTCGGTGACCATCTCTTGGGAGGCTTTGGTGGAACTGCTCGTATCGATCTCAGCCATGCCTCCGGGGGCGCTTCCGTCCTCTATCACGCAAGCGCAAGACCAACGCATGCAATGCCCACGCCAATCAAATTGTACGCACCACAGTCCCTTGTGCGCACAGGAGTGATGCAGCTTCCTTCCTGGTGGGCATTTGTCCACCTAGGATGAAGAGTGGGCTTCCGTTGCAGCGATCTCATCTGTGCGGGCGTTGCTGTCGACAAGGCCTCTTTTCTGCTTCACGCAGTGGCAAGACCACTTTACGCACCGCCCTCGCGTATCCCAGCCGAGACACCGCCTTCCCTCTGACGCGCAGGAGTCATGCAGCTTGTACCCGGGCGGACATTCCTCCACCAAGGATGAAGAGTGGGCTTCCGTTGCGGTGATTTCAACTTCGCGGGTGTCGTTGTTGTCGTTGGAGTCTGCAAAGGACTTCTCCATGACGTCCTCAGGGATGGCTCCGTGGAACGTCTGTGTCAAGTCGATCCCGAAGTTGCTTGCGATCATTTGTTTGATCAACTCCGTGGCACTGTTGAATGTTTCGAACGGAGGGGCTTGAGTGGAATCGCCTTTCGTAGGAGCATTTCCCATTTCATCCAATGTGTCGACGTGTTTGAGGACGACATAGACAAGGTCGATGACGACAAGTTGAAGGGGTTCTTGTGCATCATCAACGAATTTGATGACTCGACTGGCGACCTTGTTGATTTCATGTGAAACGACGGACTTGATGACCGCTTTCTTGTTGGGACTGCTCTTAGCGCCGCTGTCTAGTGACCTCAAGTCTCCAACCTCAAATTCAACCATGCCGTTCGCATGGTTACTGTTGTCGGTGCCATCTTCGACGAAGCGTGCGATGACTAATTTTTCGAGGTCGGCGTAGACGCGGTCGGTGACTTCTTGAGGGAAAGAGTCGATGACTTGGACGGCTTTACCGGAGGCAAAGGCGAAGCCCTTTGAAGCGATGGACTTGATGAACGCTTTCTTGTCGGAAAGGCTCTCAGCGTGGCTGTCTGTTGACCTCAAGTCTCTTCCGTCAGGGGAGCTCTGGACGGGACTTGTCACAGCGAAGGCTGCAAGCGAGAGCAAGGGCATCCACAGAGCGAGCTTGACCATGGTGGACGTTGTGTGGTTAATGCTTGAAGAGCCGTGTTGCCGTCTGTGGAGCTTGGAAGCAGACGTTGGGCAAAAGAGGGTTGGAAGATGAGGCTCGGCTGAGGAGAGAGCCGGCAGACGAAGTCTGGAAGATGAAGCTGTTGTAGTAGAAGATTTGTTGTGTGGTTGATGCTGCAAAAAGGTCTAGTGGTTGGGGGACGTGAGAGATGAAGTTGGAGAGATCTGGGGACTGGCGGGATCAAGGGCGGTTATTTATGATCCATCGCCTTGCCAGCGAGAGGGCTCGCAGTTGCCTGTTGCAGACGATCGGCGAGACTTCTGCGGTAGGAGGCGTGACGCTGCCTTCCATGAGTGGTGTCGAGAGGCTTCAGGGAAGGCACCATGACGTCGGAAGAGGCAGAGAAACCGCCGACAGGAAGGTACGAGGATCCCCAGTGGAGAGATGATCGGCCAAGAGACTTGTGATAACGAGGTTGTAGGAAAGAACCACTCTGCGGAGGTGAAGGAGAAGGGCACTGACCAGAGCAACTGCGTCGGCAATACTGGCCATGTCAAGGCAAGAAGCGACTGCCGTGAGGAGTGAAGCGACAGGAACCAGTCAAGGTGGGAAGGCACCCGACGCTCATGGGGTATATGCCGTTGCGTCGTCTCGGCCTCATGGGAAAGTGGAAGGTGGCAACAGCGAACTATCACGGAAGTTGGACGTATCTCTTGGGAGGGCACTCATCGGTGAGCCTTAAAACCACTTTCCAAGTGCCCTGCCTTCTCGATGCCAAAGGCAGGAGGGGTCTCGGTAATTAAAAGCATGGCCACCTCATCCGAGCGTCCCTCTAGCCACCGCTACTTCTCTGCGTTCTCCTATATCGCGAGACCTCCTGCTTGGAGTCCGCTTCTCGGGCAGTGTTCTTGCTGCCCTCAACCCTTCCGCCGTCCTCCACACATCCAGCCTGCCTCCTTGACATTGGACTGGCCCAGTCCAGCCCAGCGCAGTTGATCCGGGAAGGCATTCCAGTTGATAGCTGCCTTGTTAGAAAGGCGGAGAGTCGAGTCCCGTTTCGGCAATTTGGACCTGCCATTCATGTGCCACCGCCGTGGTATGTGAACCATGGTCGGGGGTCGCCACGGAAATCATGGGTAATGTCGAGAAGCATCAAGCTCCAGCAAGAGAGACAGTGACATACACGCGCGTAAATTATCGCTGTCGAGTTCACATTACCAATCTCCTCGGCGCAGTGTGAGAGTGGCGTCCGTTTCGTGGACGGAGCACACTCCTATGCGATGTAGGTCACTCGAACTCCCTCTACCGCTGTCTCGAACATCACAGAGGCCCTTTCAATTCTTCTGAACACATGTCCACGACCTCACGCATATCTCTCATCGCTCTTGTAGACAGTGTTGGCCTCAGTGGTGTAGCCCAGGAAGCAAGCCAAATCTCGATGGCAGCAACTTCAAGGGGGTTCCAGTTTCCCAAGAAAACCGCGAGAAAAGCAAGGAAATGGACTTGGACATGTTTGAAAACATATTGCAATTACAGACTTTGTACAAACGAAAGCTCCATCCCTCCTAATTGGTCTCATCAGGTCCATCGAACGCTCCGTAGGCATCCATCTTGATGGCACTCTCAGGGGCTCGCCTCGATCCGCTCATAATCCTCCTGTGGAAGGCGCGACTCCTCCCGCCACACACGCAGTATCGCTGCAGCACCACCGATAAAAGTCATGCGGAAGCTACTGTGATCTTCTGAGGCTGGACGAGTGCCCTATCCGAGGATATTAGGCAGCCTGGCCCTTTAGTTGCGCGTAATTTTCTCGATTTTGTAGGGTCCTTTTCATATTTGACCACAGGTTAGCTTCGGCAATCACTCGAGTCGCTTTTGGAAGTATGCCCCTGATTTCTCGAGACTCTGCTAGAAGTCAATGTTGATAGTCCATTTACAGCTGCTGTTTCCCTGGCCGCGAAGCATAGCTTGCGGAGGGAGCAGAAGCTATCCGGGTTCTGGGGCGATGGGGGAGTTGAGCCCGATGACGTCCATAGATCCCCTGGATGCTTTCGGATATGGCCACTACATCACCTAGGCCGGGGAAAAACGCAGTACAATCAGCTCAGTATACGATTGAAAATTGCAGAACAAGTTCTGGCACCACAGAGGCTGCTATGGGTCTTGAGCCTTTGGGCGTTCAAAGAACGGATCTGAAAGCTACGAGGACGCGAATCTCGACTGTTCCTGACAAAGGTAGCTGGCTTGAACCCAAGCAAGTTGATTTACAGACCCTTGGTGACAACTCTTGATATGAACGTAAGCGTAGAGCATTCGTTCAACCATGTCATACCGCGAGGGACTCCCGAGAATGGCTCCCATACCAACAACACCTCAATGTAAACTTCAGCATTGGCATACAGAGTCAAAGTTCAACTAAGAGCTCCGCTCCAAGTGGCATCGGACCGGAGGCTTCGGCTCTTGGCCATCGTATATGGTCCCACCTCAAGCGGCACCATTCTCAGGGGCGGAGAGACTTGTCCGGAGGCCATCGTCTCCAGACTACTTCAACATTCGGTCAAAGGCTCAAGAACCTGGACAAAAAGACAGTATGACCTACACAGTCGTCTAAGATACTTCACCGTGATGGCAATCACCGACTTTGTGTCATCGAACATGTGTTCGTCGTTTCATCCACAAGCAAACCACATGTCCCATCCCCATGACCAACCTCAACGGCAACACAAGAACCACAACACCACACTTTGACAAGCAAACCAACACAATTACCAAGCCGTCCCAAGAACGGGAACCCAACATCATCCACACAAACGCGCGCCATCGCCGTCCCCCCAAACGGCCACCTACCTCGTGCGTCCGTCTACCCCTTCCTCATCCCATCCCATCTCCCTGGAACAAACTCCCCGCTCGCATACCCGCTCCGCCAGAGGTGTCAACCCGCAAGCAAGGCCCCATCATCCTCACCAGCATCAAACCTCAGACCTTTCAACTCGGCACGAACCGACGCAGCATACGTTGCCGAATCCTTCCACGCAGTCATCCACGCAAGAGCAACGCGCGGATTACCAGCCTGAAGAAAGCGATTTCAAAACTGCCGTTCGCATGTACAAGATCGCCACGCTCCTCAAACGTCGCACCTCGTGTATGCGTCACGTAGCAGACACAGCACACACGCACACACATACATCTCACCAATGCGCCGCGCAACCAGCACCTTCGCAGAAGCAGGCGTGGCCATCATACTTGAGTTACGGAAACGCGAGGGAACATCGCAGTAAAGCTGCCGGAGCAACAAGATCTCAGTCAGGTCCAACCCAGGCCGTCTGCCGCGCACCACTGACTCGGCGGGCCAAAACGGCCCGCCTCAACAAGCATCCTCCATCTTCACTCCCGCGCCGCGCTCGCGTCTTTCTACCCATCGCATTGCGCGAGTGCGAAAAGATAACACACCATATTGTCCGGGACGAGAGCGATAGCGATCAAACAACCGTCAAGAGAACAGATATCAGCATTTCATCCAATCCTCGGATATACACAACCCAAGTTTCAAAGTCGGAACATGCCCGCTCTACGACAGGAATGCGATATGCGATATGGATGGCGATAGGGGCCGCGTTGTATGCACAATCGCGCCAGGGTCGTAACTCCCCAGCACGAACGATATCGCTCTGCTTGCTATCGCCCTTCATCCCATATCTGTATCTTTCCACCCCTCCCTCCCCGGTCCCACGCGCGCGTGCGCCGTTGTAAATGTAACGCAAGACGTGATAAACCAGTGCTGCACTCTGGCCGCATTCCGTGATCCGCTGTCTGGATGATATCTTTTGCGGTTCCCACAGACCTGGTAACGAGCCAGAAGAGGACGAGGTCCAGACCATGTCAGCTGCAGTCTTCACGAGACAAGAACAGAAGTCCAAGGAGGGGCAGGGGAGGAAAGACGGCACGTGGGGGTGGGGGGAAACGCCAGTCTGCTCGTTGAAACCTGCGCAAGTGTAAGAGAGGCAGGCTGCTTTGCTGCTCGGCATCCAGTGTTCAGTCCTAGCCATGCCAACAGGACGACGTGTGTTTGGCAGCCTACCTACCAACACGCAAATTCCTCTCTTATCGTTGGCTAACCTTAGCTTACCTACCTACTCCGACAAAACGGTGCGCGGGGACATGGACCGCCGCTAGGAGGAGCACCGACGATTCCCAACGATGGCGACGTGCAGGGCACTTTGAACGTGACATGGCGGGGCGGCAGAATGCCTATCTGGAATCAAATCGCTAGAGGGGCTAGACTACGATAGAGTCAGTCGTCGGAAGGCAGAGGTTACAACGCTCTAAACTGTCTCTGCGGTAGAGCATTTCCCGCACCTAGTCCTTGCTTGACTCTGGATGAGCTAGATAGATGCCGATAGCTCGGGTTTCCCGCGCACACACACAGATACACCGCAGTTCTGTTCGTCGGTGAGGTTTGCTGCGAAGCTAGAGCCGATGGGCACATACATCAACTATTAGCCGCGGCAGTCCAACATCTTGGCTTCAAAAATTGGCTCTTTTCTTGGCTCTCGCACTACGGCAGGATGGGTGATGGATGGCAGGTTCGCAGACGGTATCCTCTCTTGTCTCACTGCCTTGGAAACCACGAGCCATGTGCTGCTGCCAGAGGTCTTGTCTTGGACAGCCCCCATGATGTCAGCGAAGCGACTGACTGGCCTCTGGCACTTTGACCACTGCTGCATCCTACATGGGACTATTATTTCGTGCAGCATGCGACAACCGCCGGTCTCTCGTGAGCAATAGAAACCTGGCATCAGACGACAGCGCGGCCGGACTGAAGCTGCTGCTGCACCGGGTCGTTGGACTGGTTTAGCCGGCTGCAGCATGTTGAGACGACACTTTTCGAGAACCCTTTCCCCGCGGACTTAGCGATGATAGCTGCTGCAGTGCGCGAGTCGCGGCAGAGAAGTGTGCTTTTTCGCCCCTCCCTCGTCGCAAAGCCCAATACTGGAATTCGCCT